TCCTGGGTCTTCTACCTTCCCCTTCTTGAAATGGGGGTTATTTCTCTTCTTCCAGTCATTGGAAACTTCACCTGACTGCCATGACCTCTCAAATATGATGGACAGTGGCAGAGCAACTTCATTCGCCAGCTCCTTCAGGACTTGTGGATGGATTTCATCAGGTCCCATGGACTTGAGCACATTCAGGTTTTTAAGATGGTCTCAAACATGATCCTCTCCTACAGTGGGCCCAAGGTCTTAATTCTCATAGTCCTTGCGTTGGCATTCCAAGACTTGGCTCGTGTGCTCAGAGCATTTGCTACTAGTAAAGACAGAGGCAAAGAAGTCATTGAGAACCTCAGCCTTCTCCAAATCCAAGGTAGCCAGTTCTCCCGATAGCTTCCAGAAAGAGGGCCCACATTGTCCCTAGTCTGTCTTTTATTTGCTACATACCTACAGAAGCCTTTCCTGTTGTCTTTGACATCCCTTGCCAGATTTAATTCTAACTGGGCCTTAGCTTTCCTAACCTGGTCCCTGGCTTCCCAGACAACGTTCCTGTATTCTTCCCAGGAAATTACATTCATTCTATATTTGCTTAATTTAGTAGTAGAGCATACTCGCTTACAAGCTGCAGTTTTGTAAGGCTGACATGCCAAAACTGGTGCAAAACCAACTTACAGTTTAGGACATGCATTGTCTACGTCATGCAGATGTATTTCAGATCACTTATCATTTGTGTATTTGTGCATTTCACACCCCTTTCTATTCTCAGTGCTGCTATAGTAGAGGGCACAGTGCCTAAAGCCAGGAGTACATAAATAGTTCTTAATACTGAGATTTGGCTTAATTACCTGCAGAACTGTTTAAAAATATTTTAGAAGTTGTTTTTCTGTACTGTCTATATGCCTTTTTTCAGTGCAGGCTCTGAAAATAGTTGTAGTTTAAATGTAGTTGTTAGCTCCTGCTGCTTGCATCCGTGTTCTTTGTTTCTTGGGTGATATTTGCATGCCTCCTTTTAATTAGATGATATCAGTAGAATTTCAGATGCATTTAGCTATGGCTACACGTCTTAATGTTGCTTTTCTACCTAGAAAATTTAATTAGCTTTTTTCTCTCAATTTAGCTCCTTATCCTGCTTTAAGTTTTGAGAGAGAAATTAGTATTCATGAATGTGACTAAAACTTCTGGCTTTGAGGCACGTTGGTGTGCTATAACCATATACGGCATAGAAATTTTATGCAAGTAATGTAGATTTGTCTCATCTCTGCTATCACTTTATGGATCTTGATGCAGACTGATACTATGGTAGTTTTGTAACGTGGGTAGCTATGGAGGAGAGTAAAAGTAGCTATTTGTAACTGGGGATGGGTTTTGTGTAGATGTCTAAGAGCAAGTAGAGCACTGAATTGTCTAGGTGCTACTGATTTAGAAATAATCTCTAAAAGGAGAGGTGTGGCTGATTCACTGTAAGCTATTGGAAACCTTGATCAGCTTGCAGGTTTGCTAAGTAAAAATCTTTCTTGTCATAATGTATTTCTGAACTGAGAATCTAATTTATGCAAGCACTACATGAGGAAGTGGCAAATGCAGCTATTTAGGCTGACAGCAGGATTATAGAATTCTGTCGCCTCTGCCACAGAGGAGCAGTTGCTTCCTTTGGGTTTTTTTTTAACACTGGAAGCATAGCCTTTAGTACTGTCAAGTATCTAATAAATAATGGGTGAGATGTATGCCGTTTCCCATAGAAGCTCTGTGGAAGGAGATGCCTCTTGCTCTTCTGGACTGTGGCCCCTGACACAACATACTAGCTTTTTTGTGAGAAACGAGTGATTTGTCTTGCAACTGCCTGTGAGCAGAAGTGTTTTCCACAGGATGCACAATACTCTGCGCTGTGGATATAATGCCAGCAGTCACAAACTTTGTGTGGACTGATCTGAAATTGGCTTTTTGGTTATCTTACACAGTTCCTCTGAATCTTACTGTGCCCTGATGTTTTAAGGCCTGTTGTTCTTATTACAATTTTGCTTAAGCTGTCCACATAGTTGAAGTCTGGGAAAGAGCAGATCAAGTCAAATATTTGAAATTTAAATAACTTCAAAGAAGTTCTGGTTTTAATGACAGTAATTTGTATATCATTAACAGGGAAAGCATTGAAAGACTTAAACTATAGTTAGAATAAGTGCTTGCAGGTATAAAACTATTGTTGGTGTAGACTTAAGATATTTAATGATGCTTATACAGAAGAATGAAAAGGAATGATTTAGATATTTGCAGTTAGAGAACTGCTGAAAACAAAGTTTTGCATTTTGTGTGTGTCTTGTACTTGCCAACAAATTACTCAGGGCCAGAATAGTTCACTAAGGGTAGCATTTAAAAGGACTTAAAATCAGATAGAAGGCTTGGCAAGGCACAATAAGTAGCAGAAAATGTTCTACAATACATTTTCTTTTAAATCAGTCCTGGCTCTCACTTTTATCAATATAGATAAATAATATGGAGAAAGTCTTCCACATTTCAAAAATATCTAGAGATTTATGGAGCAAGATTTTACCTTTTGAGTCTTAATTCTTTTGGATTTTGAAGTTCACTGCAGAGGCCAGTTTTTGAGCGGATGGAGCAAGAGAGTTTTGGGGGAGAAAAGAGGGTATTGATCCAGCAGTACTGTGCTGTGCCAGAGGTGTCCGGAGGCAGAAATGACAGATGAGGGATGCTGTGCAAGGAGTTGGGACAAAGCTGTGCCAAGCTGGGCGTGGAAGGTGGTGACAGCATTTCAGCAAGTAGTGCGTGGCTGTCTGTCCTTGGTTACTGAGGGGAGATCAGGGCTTGTCTCAGGAGCGGGGTGTTGCCTGTTCATTTTCGCTCCAGTGATCACCAGGAATTGAAGTGAGAAAGCTTTGCCTGCACTGTCAAAACCTTCCATGGTGCTGGGCAGTGTAACATAGAGAGGCCAGCTGGGTCTGAAGATGGTAGTGCAAGTACAGTCAGCTGATTCTTACTTAGCATATTCTGACTAGTTGCAGTTGCATGCATCAGGGTTTGTTTTGAGGGTGCGGGTGTTCCTTTTTTTTTATTTGTTTTGGGGTTTTTATTTTATTTTCCTGGTGCATCCTGTGACATTGTTAACTAGATTATTCCCTGAGTCAAAGGTGGTTGACTGTAGCATGCCTAAAGGAAAGTGCCTCTCAGCCTAGCCAAGTTTGCCATATGGAAGTAAATACTTTGCTGATAATCCTGTTTCTATTTTAAGTAAAATTCTGATAAATTAGGGAAAAGAATAAATTCCTGCTCTTACCTTCAGTCTGCTTATTTAATCTTAGGTAAAGATCCTGTACGTCAACATTCAGGTTTTAAATGACCTATTGTGTGAGTGTCTTTTCACTGTAGATGACAACTGAAGACTGTAATCCTCGTGCTCTTTAGAAGATGAGCTATCAAAGGAAGAAATGTACAGTGTGGTTCTATTGCTCTGTCCTTGGGTAGAAGAGGAAAAGCTTTCCAGAGCATCATGACTGTGTATCCTCCTGGAAGAGGATAAACTCTCTTCTGTCAGTTGCCATTGAAATTGGAGGAATAATGTGGGGATGTTTTTGTCTTGAGTTGCATGATATTGTGCATCTCTCCAACACCACAGGGAAAGGTCCACTTCCTATGGATGCAGGTGTGACTGACAGGCTTACCTCAGCAGATGTCGTCAAAAAATGATGGTTTCAGTTCTATAAACGTCCCAGAAATGTTTGATTAGTTCCATTTTTTCAGCCTGTATTTGATTAGGGTTTCTCGTATTTTTCTCTTCTCCTGCCCTGTGCTATTGAAAGCAGTAGGCAGAGATGAATCACCAGCAAAATTGGAAGCCCATTTAGTTGGAAGTGTGACAATCTGAAGGAGCTGTTATTCTGTATGAATATTTTACACAACATTGTACAAATCATATGATTGTTTCCTACCCATTTTAAAATATTTACTTCCACAAATAATGTAAAAAAAAAAAAGATAATACAGAGTGTAAATAGTAACAAATAGTAACAATATATTAATAAAATATCATAACATCTTCTTTCATGTCTTTAAAGAAGAAAGCTTAGCAGTTGTCCCTAGTTTAGTAGGAGTTGTCCTTGCTTAGGGGGAACTTCAGATTTTAGTTACAGCTTATTTTCAAGTGGAGATGCCTATTTAAGTACCTCATTGCAAGAAGCACAAGTGATGTCAATGGTTTTGCTTTATAAATAGCCAAATTACAGGTTTCTGTAAGGGACAACTTTCATTAAGTAGCATCAGGTCAGTTAATGTCTTGCCACATTTACTTTGCCACCCCATGGTGTGCTTTATGAATATAGCATCATTACAACAGATGAAATAATTGGGACTTTTGTCATGTGCTTCGTGTCTATATTTACTGAACTGCATCATGATGTAGCTTTGTGCAGACCCCTCCAAACTCATCTCAGAATTCCAAAATAAGTATTATTTCAGTGGCTATGTTCTTATCCAATTTCATACTAGTCAGAAGGGAATGAGATCGCATCAGACCTGTTTTCTGGAAAGGGCAATGTCCTATAGGTGATCTTCTAAGTATGTGTCTGCTTTTTGACAAAATAAAGGATCTTGCAGTTCGAGATCCTGATGTTGGCAAAGCTAATCTCCGTATGTAAGAGCCTGATACCTAATAGTGTCAGAGCACACATAACAGGGCCCTGCAAATTTGATACTTTCCTTTAAAAATATCCTTGTTGCTACTATGTGTAAGCTAACAATGACATTCTATATCTACTACTACTGCTATATATTCTACTACAATGGCATACTGTATCTACTCTGAGGTATTGTATATTGTGCCAGGCTCAGTCACCTGCTTCAGTACAGAAATTTTCTATCCCTGTTACAACAGGGATTTGAATTCTAATCTTCTTGTTGTGATTTTTTGTTTGTTTGGGTTTTTTTTTTATGCTGCTTTGCGTTAATCTTCTATGAACTACAGACTTCACTGAGCCTCGAAAGAAAGTAACTGAGTGTCTGGCTCTGGGTGATAGTCCACAAGTACATTCACAGTGGAAATATAGTTTCCTAATCACTTAAGACTAGATAATTTTTTATTTTTTGTGTCGTACTTGCTCAGGGTGATACTTCAGGTATACCCTCTCTTAGAATCATAGAATCAGAAGGGTTTGGGTTAGAAGGGACCTTAAAGATCATCTAGTTCCAACCCCCTGCCATGGGCAGGGACACCTTCCACTACACCAGGGTACTGCCAGGGATGGGGCAGCCACAGCTTCTCTGGGCAACCTGTGCCAGGGCCTCACCACCTCACAGTGAAGAATTTATTCCTAATATCTAATCTAAATCTACTCTCTTCTAGTTTAAAACCATTCCCCTCTGTCCTATCACTACATTTCTCTGCTTATGCAAATGCAACCATCCTCCTTAATGGCTAAATAAGGTAGGCCGCTTGCACCATTTCTTCATTTCCACTCAGCCATCTGTTCAAGTAGTGCTATACTGCTGATAGATTTTAACCTTCATACAAAACATTGTTCCCTATTTGTAATCCAGACTAGCCTATATAGCTCCTTAGTGGCTTTTCGAGATGATGTCCTCTTGTAGATGAGAACTAAATCCCATTTTCTGATGCGTGAAGGGAGTGTTTTTGCCATCTTAAAGGGCAGCCTGTTCTCAGTGTCTACTCCAGCTGTTCTTCATAAATGTAGAAGGAGAAGATATTAGCCATTTGTGGAACTTTTTATTTAAAAAGCCTATGAAGGCCTCAGATTACAAGTGGAAAAAACACAAATCACATTTCACATGCCTAAGTGCTGCATGTTAGTGTGTTGTGCAGAGTTGCCATGCATGGGCAGACATGAGACTGGCATTGGAGAAGAGCTTCTGGTGGACTCTGATCCATTAGTGCCCGCAGTCCCAAGAGCTCAAGCAGAAGTCAGCACTGCCCACTATCTGCAGAACTGAATCACTTCAGCTGGTGTCCTCCCGAGAGATTCGTTGTCCTGTGATTTCTTTCTCCCTGCCTCCTCCTTTGTAGCCTAGCAAGGTAGAGGCAGACTTCATCTGCAAACCTGATAATGTTCTCTGAATCCACCCTCAAATCTGGAGGTACCTTTGGGAGTTTAGTTGGTGCTCAGTCCCTGGTACAAGCACTTGTTGTCAGTCTGTCTTCAGCCTTGGGCTAGCCCAGTCAGTTTTGTTGCTCCTGGTAGCAGTGTCTTCATGCATGGCATCTTTCTTAAGCGGCCACCTTTCTCTTCAGACACCTGTGCTGGCAGTGAAGTGTATTCCACAACCGTGTAAATAGTTGCTTTTGTTGATAATAAATAGACTTTCTTCATCAACAGTAAGTTTCCTTCTTTTGCCAAGGCCTTCTTAAAGGGTCACAGTTTGCAGGCATCCCAAGAATCCTGTAGCACTGTGCCACCCAGAAGTCCACCTAGGCTTGACCAAGCAGTATGCTGTCTTGGAACGCCCAAAGTCATGGCAGTACTCGGCAAAGAAGTTTTGCCGGTTTTGTGGGAGAGACTTAGACTTTCTACTAGGCAGCTGACTGGTTTGAGTATGGCTAGTTGGAAATGCCCTCAGTATGAATATGCTGATGGCCTTTGCCTTTCAGAAAAAAACCTCTGGTCACTGCTATGTGGTATCTCTCCATTTTTGAGTTGCATTGTCTCTGGTTATGTTCTAGTAGCTTCTTTCTTTCCCTTTGATTTACTATGCAGAAGGCTCTGGAGTTAGTGGTAGGTGTTCCACCTTTGCTTTTTGTACAGGCAAATGCTGAAGTTGTATGACTGAGCAGATAACACGTGCAAAGCTCCTTGTCTCAGATGCTTGAAGCTTACATGTGGCATGGAGAATAATAGACACAAGTCCGTAACTCTTCTTCCTCTATTTTTGCAGACTGACTATTTCTGTTCTTAAGGAGACTATGTTGTATATTGAATATTTCAATAGCACCAAGATATACTGCAAAGAGTTCTTGTTTGAATAGGTGTTTTAGTTAGTTTTACATAGCTGTAGTGTATGGAGCTTTTAATAACATTGAGATTTCAGGTTGTTCATTGCTAACATTTCTTGTCTTGGCACAAACTTGTCATCTGTTGTTGTACTGGTTTCAGAAGACAATGTTATCTTCAATTTAAAATAACTCCAGTGTTTTTTAATATCATCACAGGTAAAATGTTCCAGTCTCCAGATATCACTCTTATTGTAGAGTTCATATTTATGTTTTATAAGGAGAAACCTATTGATTGGCTGCTGGACCATATCCTCTGGGTGAAAGTGTGTAACCCTGAGAAAGATGCTGTAAGTTTGTTTTTATTATAAAGCTTCTAAAATGTTTTCATGATGGTGAGTGAACTGGTTTGGCGAGCTGGAGGCTAGCATAGTGCGTATTACGGATACTGCATGTCCTGAAAGAGTCTTTCTTCCAACCAAGATTTTACTCTCAAAAAGAAATTTAGAGAGACAGTTCTCAGAGGCATTAGAACTGTTATTGATTCAGATTTTGGAGATGGATGCAGTAGAATGAAAACCAAAAGTCTAGTTGATTTCTGTGTGTAACAATCCTAAACTAAACTCATTCACATAACCCCTCATTCACTGAGGCTCTGCAGAAAGCTATTGCTTAGGTAGCAGTCATAGAGAAGATTTCAAATGGGGAATAAACTTTAATATTGGGCCTTCATTTCTTAAGTAGCACCCTTGCTGAAAGACTGACTAAACAGGTTCTGTGCAAGAGCCTTGCATAGTATTGGGTTTGCACAGCATTAGTGGTAGAATTCTGGAATTAAAGGACTACTGGATAAATAGGTCTGGGTTCTCGTTGAGTGTTTTTTGTTCATCTAATGTCACATACTTGCAGTAAGAACTCAGCAACCTTGTGCTGGTTTTACTAATGTGACTTTTTTTTAACCCCTTTTCCATTTCCCCCTCTGCCTATTATTTCAGAAACATTGTGATCGACAGAAATCTAACCTGAGGATACGCTTCAGGCCTTCTCTTTTCCAGCATGTTGGCCTCCACTCCTCTTTAGCAGGAAAGATCCAGAAACTCACAGTTAGTACCTAAAATATTCCTTCCTTTCCAGAGTGGCTTATTAAATGAAAAACTTTGAAGCCTTTGAGAAAAGGCATTTTCTTGTTCTCTGGCGCTTTTAAGCATGTTGTATATTACTCCAGTTGGAATGAAATCTGGTTTAAACTGGTTACAATCAAGTATAAGAAGTGCTAATCTCAGCTTGGTTTTGTGGATTTTTGCTAGGAGATGTTTTATCTTTTTTTTTTTCTTTTTTACTTTAATGTTCATCTTATTTATCAGTAAGATCTGATACACCCAAAAATGAGTAATGCATTCATTTTCCATTTTACGCAAGGGTTTGTTTTAAGTCTAACCACTTGGGGAAAAAAAAAGGCAGCATAATGAAACAGGTTATCTGACCAACACGATGTTTGTCTTTCAATTAGGATAAAGACTTCCTGAAACCATTACTGCATAAAATCCACGTGAATCCACCTGCAGAGGTTTCAACATCTTTAAAAGTCTACCAGGGACACACACTAGAAAAAACCTACGTAGGGGAAGATTTTTTCTGGGCTGTCACACCAGTTGCTGGGGATTATATTCTATTTAAATTTGACAAGCCAGTCAATGTAGAAAGGTAAGTAACCATTTGCCTTTGGCCTTGTATCTAAAGTTGCCCCTTTGCCTAGAATGTCTGAAGATAGAATTTGGGGCTATCATTATAACCTGAAGTGAAATGACATAGGGTCTTTGGAGTTCAGCTGAATCGATGTTCATTAATGTCTTCCCTCTAATTCTTCCACAATTCAAAACTGGTGCTTCTCTGAATGTTCATAAGAGAATTTAGAAGAAGCCAATTTGATTGTATTAGGTTGGTCTGCTTCTAATTACAGAGCAATTGTACAGCATGGTATATGGTACAGTATGTTGTGCCCTGCAGCCTCAGTCCCTTGATTGTCCAGATCAGAAATCTTGCTGGAGCATATCACGATGTCCCCAGATCTGAAAGCTGGGAACTCTGAATGGTAATGTTTTCCAGATGTAGCTTTAGGGCTTGCAAAAAGTCAGCATGCTAAGACTCCAAGCTGACCTATTTGAAAGAATTAAAAAATACAAAAAAATAAAAGGGGAGGAGGATGCCCTTGAAATACAAATATCTGTGATTTATTAGAGGACTAAAGGTGACTTCTTTTTGTCTTATTTAATCTGAGATTAAATTAAATAAGGGTAATAGAGCTTGTGCTTTAGAGTGTAGTCATCCATTAGTTTTATTGATGCTCATTTGCTGCTTTGCTTTCTACTGTTTTGCCAACATAGTAGTCCAAGACTCATAAAATAAATTGTTTATTTAGTGTCTGTTTAAATGTTATTATGTTAGTGGATTCCTTTTCTCCTTTCTTCACATACCTTATGAGACCAGTACCTATAGTCTGGTAGAGCAAAGTTTCTTTGTATCAGTGTGACTGTATGCTTTTCCTTGTGAAGCAGCCCTTTTTGCAGTCCTGACCTGAATCCAATTAGTCAACTTCTGTGCCTTGGTACATAATCAAAGACTAAGTCTTTGATTTGTTGGCTTAGCGCAACAGTGAGGATCAGTAGTTTCCTTGTTACTGTGTTGTTCCGTATAAACAGCTGACCTATGAAACTCAAGTTTGTCATTTGAGAAGTCAAATTACTCTTTCAGTTGATCGTTATGGTTTAAAAGACTCTCCTGGTTAGCTTTCCAAGATGCATGCGTTGAGCAATATGACTGCCATACCTCCTTGGATTCAAGGCAGAATAGTTTTTTTATCCTGTGCCAGTAGTTGAAAAAAATACATATTTTTCAACTCAGATGTATGAATTCATTGATTTCTTTTAGATCAAATGTTCCCTTTCAAAATTATGAAGTAAATGTCCTATTTGTGTGTTTGTTTTGTTTTCCTGTTTTGTTGCTTGGTGGTTGTTTTCTGTTTTTTTGGTTACTTTTTAAAAAATTATATGCATCTATGTCATGAATAGTGTAACTGTAAGCAGCAAATGTTAATCTTAGGTGGTTTAGGATGATTCAAGTGCACAATGGCAACTTTGGAGAGCACTGCTAGCAAGTATCATAGGTCAGCACTGTTATTCAAAAACGGTGTGCACAGGTCTGAAAAAAATCTTTTTTGATATGTATTTCCTTAATGGTGAGAGGGTTGAGGGAATGAGTAAGTACTAATTATCCATGCAAAAGGCGGGAAGAGTGTTCATTATTGTGCCCTGAAAAATTGAATCTAAGCCTAAAATAGTTGCATCGACCTGCTATGTAAATAGTCCCAGCAGTAGAGGTGGATATGATTTTCTGTTGTTGTTGTTGTTATTTACTGAATAAATGCATTTTAGTTTAGAAGAAAAGGAACATCTTGTATTCAGTTGCTTCTCAAAGGAAATCCACCGATTAGAACAACATTACCTGTTTGGAATGATGTATAACACTGTTTGGACTGTCATTGGAAGCACTTTAAAAGTTTTATTACAATTTTAGTTTCTATTGCCACAGTGCCATCAAAAATGCCAGATTTTGCCTTTTTGAAGTCAGTGGCTGATTAGGGAGGGCTACAGATGTAATTTCAAGTTGTTGAGGACTTGGTTTTGTTTGCTCAACTGCAGCAGTGGATTTTGGTAGGTGAAGGTCAAGTGGAGCAGTGGTGTTGCCTGATATTTCAAGGGTGCTTGCTGAGGCAGTCTAAAATAAAGCTGTAACCTGTGAGTTGAAACACAGGAAAGGAAAAGTGGACTGAGCATTACGAAGACTTATTGGTGGGGACATATATCTGACTGTGGGAATTAAGAGTAGAAAATATGCTTTTGAAAGCCATCTTGTGTTTGTGAAGGGATGCAATACGTGTTTCCTTTCTTCTTTAAGTATTAGAGAAGCTCTTTGAATTTATAGAAAACTTTTTCTGCTCGAGTCAGTTTGAGGTGTAGCTGCTTAGTAACTCCCATAATAAATTCTGAATAAACAAGTTTTTTAACGGAAATCTTGACCACAACTCTGACTGAATGGGAGGTCTGTTACACTCTGACAGAGCATTAACTTGTTCTTATAGTTTGTTTTTCCATGCCAAATGCTTTACTGAAGTGAATTTAAATTTTCTGCTGAGTGTAACAGTTCAATAATTACCTTTCATTAACTCCTTAAGTATTTCAATTTTGAGATCTGAAAATATTGTCGGGATAACACTGGCAAGGACCTCTTAATAGCTTAAAGTAAGAACTGAGCCCACTTTGGTGAGCAGAAAGGAACACTTGTGGCTATTTAGTGTAAGACCTGGTTGGCAGATCCCTGCTGAATATTGAGCAGTCAAATAGATGGTGCTTGTTCTAAACCATACCTGGAGGTATGTGTAAACTGAAATGGCCAAGTGATCATTTTAGTAACAGCTCTTGTACTGAACCTTTATAGGGATTTTTAACAAGCAAAGCATCTCCAGCCACTGAAGTCCCTTAATAGTAAGCTAGGATTTCATTTTTGCAATAAGAACATATATACCTCTCAATAGTATATTCCTGAGAACAAAAGTAGATCACTACTTTCCTCTTAAAACAAATTCAACACAGCAGTGTTGAAGGTATGGTTTGTTGGGTTTTTTGTGTGGGTTTTTTTTTCGTTTTTGTTTTTTTTTGGGGGGGGGGGGGGGGGTGAGTTTGGTTTTGTTTTGTTTTTGTTGTGTTTTGGTTTGTTTGGGGTTTTTTTGTTGTTTTTTTTTTTAAACAAATGGATGGACTTTATTTTACATGCTCAAAACAGCCTACATTGTAAAGATAGGAAATACTGAAATTCTGCTCCCTTAACTTGTTATATAATTATTGAAATCCACTTTGCTATTTTGGTCTGCATGCATTTAATTATTAAAACTGACAGTTATATTTAAGAGTTTCTTTATGAAGCATACATTATTACTACTTTAATGTTAGTACTGAATGTTATTTCATTTTCCTCACTATAAATAACAGATTCAAGATACTTCTTTTCGTTATTAGTTACTCTCTTTCTTCAAGGATGTCAGTGAGGAGTGTTGTACCCTAGCAGCACATTGTGAAGAGCTTTTGGCTTCAGAAGTTGCTTTGAGGGCTTTTTGTATGTAGGAAGCTCTGAAATATTGGTGCATGAGTAATGAGTCTTGAACAGAGATCAATAAACTTTGAATGTGATCCTGGTTTAAAAACAAACAAAAAACCCAAACAAAACCAAACCAAAATAAGAACCAAAGCAAAAGAACACATCCCAGAATCCCAGAAAGAGGGTCCATTCAGCACTTAAGTGGTGCTCATGTCCATCATCATCACCACAACCATCTCTTTTTGAACTGCCTAAGTTTCAGAGTCCTCCCTATAGATGTGATTGGTACAAATCAGCCACAAATCTTTCCAGAGAAGATGTGCACTAATTACATTGAATAAGCCATTGGAAGCACATAACTAGTGGTTGTTTTAACTAGATTATGTTTACACTTGTCAGCTTCTCTGCAATAAGAATTTGGAATGGATATTTACAGAAAGGGATTCAGATTTATTTCAGTATAAATTGCTATCAAATGCTGATCTTTATTAAGTAAATTTTTAAAAGGTGCAAGAAAAGGTAAGGATGTATTTTATGCTGGAAATAAATCCACCAAACCCTATCTCAGCCTCGCAGGTGTGTGTGTATATATATACAGCCCACATATAAATTTGCTTTGTATTTTTCAAATATGAGCCTTATCCTTTCTTACATGTAACTGCTTGATAGTGTTACTTCGAATATTTTTAAAAGGATGGGCAGAGTTTGGTTTTGGGGAGGGGAATTTAGTTTGTGGTTGTGTTTGATTTTGATTGTTTTTAATCCCCTCAGTCCCAGTGCTGCTGCTAGCTCTGTAGCTGCCCCATAGTTGTGTTCTTCTTTTAGCAACTTATTGTGTAGTCATCCTAATGTGACATTAATAAAGTGATTTTATGAGGTACAATTTGCTGACTAAAATTTCAGCTTTAAACTGAAATCTTAATACTTTGACAAATCAGCTTGTAGATTACATTTACTACTTTGTGTTCTGAAACTGGCATAGGTACTGAACGTGCTGTTCAGATTAATCACTTAATTTTCCATATTGTTGACCCTGAAATCCCAGGGAACATGTGATGTTAACCTCGCACTTATTCCCTGTGGCATGTTCTCACAACATAGGATTTTACTAATCATGCAAGAAATAAATATTTGACTTCAGCTAGAAAATCAATCTTGTTGGACTCCTGGTAACTAAACATATACATTATTTTGTCTGCTTTGAAATTACTGTGACAGTGTTGAAAAATACCCACATAAAAAGTGACAGTTGCTTGCCTGTTATTAGTGCCACTTCGTTGTAAAGGAAAATAAATGCAGCTTTTAAAACAGGTTCTCTAGCAGTGAAAACTTAAAAGGAATTTAATTTTCTTTTTAAGTACAAAAAAGTTACCCAAAAAGTATCATAGCAGTTGATCGTATATGTATGTAAAATGTAGTTAATTATCTGTCTATGGGATGCAAGTCCTCCTGTGGGTAGATGCACAAGAGCAAATGCATTACAAAGGAAAAAACAGCTTTTCAAAACTGACAGTGGCATGGAACTTTCTCATAATTTGCTTTTGCAGTAACAG